TCAGCAAGAAGAACTGCGCTTAACGCATGATCAGAGACGGCCAGGTACATGTAAAGTACTTCTTTGGGTAAAGGACTGACCAGCCTCGGCAAGGAATGCAAGTGAACTTTCAATTTCTGGAAGGCCGCCTCAGCATCCGGCCCCCATTCAAACCTTGCCTTCTTCTTAATTGCCTGGAAAAAGTATAGGCATTTGTCGCCTGATCGGCTTAGAAATCTTCCCAAGGCCGCCAGACAACCTGTTAACTTCTGAACCTCTCGGATGGTACGAGGCGACTGCATGTCGATGATCTCCTGCACCTTCTCAGGGTTCGCCTCTATTCCTCTCTGATTGATAAGGAATCCGAGAAATTTCCCAGACTCAACTCTAAAGACACATTTCTTGGGATTGAGCATGACATGGTGCCGCCTGAGTGTGGCGAAAGTTTCTCGGAGGTCCGACATATGATCTTTTTGAAGTTTAGACTTGACAATCATATCATCAATATATGCCTCGACATTTCTCCCAATCTGATCAAAGAACACAGTGTTTATCATTCGCTGGAAAGTGGCCGGGGCATTCTTAAGACCAAACGGCATGACCGTGTGACAGTATAACCCTTGATTAGTGACGAAGGCCGTCTTCTCCTGATCTTTCTTCCATAAAGGAATTTGATGGAAACCAGAGTAAGCGTCCATAAAGCTCATCAAAGCATGGCCGGCTGTTGAGTCGACCAGGTTATCAATTTTAGGCAGAGGGTAACTGTCTTTGGGGCACGCCTTGTTTAAGTCTGTGTAGTCTACACACATTCGCCAGGTGTCATTCGGCTTTTTAACAAGCACCACATTTGCAACCCAGTCTGGGAAGTAACATTGCCGGATGAACCCTACATCAAGTAATTTTTTAACTTCGGCGGCTGCCGCCTGACTTCTTTCTTCGCCATAGTTCCGCTTCTTCTACCTTACCGGCTTCTTTTTCGGATCCACGGCCAGTTTATGTACCGCCAGATCAGGACTGATGCTTGGCATTTCATGGACTTCGAATGCAAAGATGTCCTTGTATTCTTTCAATAGTTTGTGAAAGTCGTCACCCAGGACCCTTAGAGCAGTCGTCCCAACTTTGACTGTTCTGTCAGGACGCGAGTCGTCTAAGATCAGGTCCGTATGCTCACCAGCCGGCTGAGGGCGAAATTCATCCGACCGCTCCTCTGCCAATGATTGCTATTTTCTGTCTTTTCTTGCGGCCCCCGTCTGGGATGCCTTTCTCTTCTTGCCGCCTGCTTCTTGAACAGGCGCCTTCTCCTTGACATTGTCAAGGTCTATTTTTCCACCACTCGACCCAGTGGCCATAACAGTGGGCTTGACATCCGAGAGATAGCACTCTCGGGCCATCCTCTGATCTACCCTTAGGGACCCGACTGTTCCATTATCCCTCTCAAACTTGAGCAACATAAGAGATGGTATTATAACAGCCTTGAAATTATTCACGGTTGGTCGTCCCAGAATCATGTTGTAGGCCGAGAGTTCTTCTACTACCAGGAACCGGACTACCATGTGTCGTCCTTCCCCTTTTTCACCCAGGCGGATGGGTAAATCCACTCGTCCCACTTGGTGGACGACTCCTCCTCCAAACCCTACTAAAGGGTGGGATGCCGGATGTATGCAATCAGTCTGATATTTTAGTTTTGACAGACATTTGCTACTGATGAGATCTGAGGAGCTTCCGCTATCTATGAGGATTCAGCCAACTCTCTGGTTGGCCACTTTACATTCACTAACGATAGGGTTGTCATGCGGCCCTCTTACCCCTCCTAGATCTTCTTCAGTGATGACAATCTCAGGAAATGAATATTAGGAGGGCCGTTCTTGGTGAACGAAATTTACATCTAGCCGTCTGATATTGTCTTTGTTGCCCCTAATAGTGGGGCTGCCTCCTGAGAAGCCGCCTGCAATGGTGTAGACGACTGCATCATCTGTATCGGAGCTTTCGGCCTGTTGATTCTTTTTGACCGACTGTTTTTTCGAGGAAGTGTTCCCCGTAGATTTCTTGACATAACTGTCAAGATCACCTTGCTCAGCCAGGCGGTCCAGATATCGCATGAGACTGATGCACTCATTGGTGTGATGACCAACATCTTCATGATAATCACAGAATTTTTCTTGGTTCAGGTTGTTTGCAGAACCCTTCATGGGGATCGACTTCTCAATTGAGATCCGTCCCTTGATTTCCTTTAGGATAAATTGGCTATCCTTGTTGAACGCATACTTTGGGGAGTATGGTTTGAATTCTTTTTTCTTCTTCTAGGCCGGCTGTTTAGAGGAATCAGCCGCCCAGACCTCTTTTCTCTTCTCATCTTTGTTTGACGGCAGTTTCTTTCGTCCTTCTCTTTTGTCGGACCTTTTCCCGTCTGACTGTTTTACCGTACTACAAAGATCAGTCGCCTGTATATAGGCTTCCGCTTCAATCAAGGCCTCTTGAAGAGTCGTCACCCTCTTTCGGACCAAACCAAATTTGAAGGTCGACCCGTCTTTGAGACCTCTAAAAAAGTCAGTATAGGCTACTTCATTCGGTAACCCTTGAATCTATATTCTCATCAGGTTAAACCGCCTGATGTAAGAACGAAGCCCCTCCTTCTCACCCTGCTGAATCGTTCCTAAATCAAGGGTCGTCTTCTTCGCAAGGATGTTCATGGCCAAGTTGGAGGTGAATAAGTAAGCAAGCGTCCTGAAGTTATTTACACAACCAGTCGGCAGGTTGCCGAACCATTGTTGTGCGATTCCTTTGAGAGTCGCTGGGAAACACTTGCACCAAGTGGGATCATCCAACCCTTGAAGGTACATCAGGTTGGTGAATGCCATCAGATGGTCTTCTGGGTTAGTAGTGCCATCATAGGCGCCTACTAATACATTTTTTCACTTTGGCCGGCTGAGCGGCTTCAGTAATTTCCTTGGAGAAGGCCGACGGCTGTTCGCCAAGTCTAAGCAACCGTAGCTGCCAGTCCATAGGTTGGACATTTTTTGCTGCATGTCCACCAAACGGAGGTGGCTGCAAAAAATACTGTTGTTGCGGTACAAACGGTAAGTTTGGTACCGCCTGGTCGCTATGAAAGCCGGACTGACGGGAGGTGCCGCCTGACTGACTCTCATGATACGATTGAGTATGCCTCATCAAGGTATTTCGCAGACTGTCTTGGAAGTTTGAAGTAGAGGCCGACTCTGACAATCGGTCACTCTTCTTCTGCTCTAGCAGTAGCCGAACATCTGTGTATGTTTTCCTCGACCCGTCCGCCTGAATATGACGAACATGTTTCCTCTTTCCTGGAGTAGGAAAACGGTATTTTGTGAAATCAAGGGCAGGCGGCTCCCACTTCCTAGATTTAGGATGAGGGGTCGCCTCTCGCCCTTGAACTGGCTTCCTCTTCCGTGAAGTGGAGGGTTTCTTAGCCGACTGCTCCTTGTCCAGAGCAGGCGGCTTCTTGTTGATCAACTCTTGAATTTCTCCCTTGAAGTCCCTCATGAAGGTCATGAGTTCGTTCCTTGTGATGGGAGCAGACCCATCAGTCGGCTGCTGCCGAACAGGCGGTGCGCCTGCTGGCTCACTTCCAGTTTGAAGATGTTCCCGTTCCCTCCTTTCGGTATGACGGGTACGTCGGGCCCTTAGGGTCCCGTCTGAAGCTGTGTGAGCTTCAACTTCAAATTCATTCTCAGTATCGTGGTCCGTCTGAACTAGAGGGTCGTCCAGGGGACGTCTCTCTTCAGGAGCCGGTACGAACGTGGATGCCATCTCAGACGGCGCCAAAATGTTTCGGGGTTTTCTGATGTCCTGCGGGAGAGTTACAATTCCGAGACTGGAACCGGACGCCTGTACCTGCAAAACAAACGGATGCTCCGGATGATTGGAGATCCGCCTCCGATGGTCAAGTTAGTACTTGATTAAGGAGTAATTAATGCGGAAATTAAAGTGATTGGGTCTCTCTAGGTGAGAGTGTTTAATGGGTGTAATCTGCATCATCCCCCTTAATGAGGATTAAGGGAGGTATTTATAACCTCGGGAAACGTGCCAATCCTAGGTTTAGGTTAACCTTGGGCTGATTGGGCTTCCCTCGGAAGTTGGGCCTAGGTGACCGACTTCTCCATTAGGCATTGAGTATGCTACGTGTCATGACATAATAGGTCCAGGGTGGACGAATAAGCGTGCGCCACGTGGCAAGCCCTGAGAGGTCCAACTGGGGGACACTTGGCAGGACCTGATTGGCCCACGTGGCGCATTCCTATTGGTGGGAGCAAAATCCCCTAATCACATAAGTCATAAAGGCCATCAGTAACAATTCTCCTCAAAGGGCTAGTCATGCCGAGCGCATCGCGCGCTTGAATCCCTAGTAAATACTAAAAGTTGTATAATTCTCATTTTATTACCACAATAAAAAAAAATTAAAAAAAAAATCAAAAAAAAAGGAAAGGAATTTTTGTGAAGAACTACCTTATACATTTTAGTTTTTGTGAAAAACTACCTTATTAAAAAAATGTTGTAAGAAACTACCTTATAAAACTTAGATGTTGTAAGAAATCATTATAAAACACTAAATGTAGTAAGAAGTTTCGTTTTGCCAGATTATTACATTGAATAAGGGATGTTTAATGCAATTTTCAATAATTTTTTCTCCTTTTCCCACCCAATTTCTCCATAGCCCCCGTATGACCCCTAATTCTCCTTCTCTTTCAGTGTTAAATCAAGCACATGGTAGCAACTTACAACATTTTGTTTTTATAAAGTAGATTCTTACAACAATTTTTTTATAAAGTAGTTTTTCACAAAATTTAAAGTATATAAGGTTGTTTTTCACAAAAAATATCCTAAAAAAATAAAAATAAAACGTAGCTTCTATCTCTCTTCTGATTATTTCTCCGTCTAAGCTCGTCAATGGCTTCTTTTCTTCCTGTCCATGATTTTTTGCTCCATAAACTTAAAATATAACAATAGGACCTTATAAGGAATTTAAAAAATCGTCTAAATTGAATTGATTTACCAAAGAACACTGCAAATTTATTTTCAATCACTAAACTGAAAAATATACATATATATACAGAGAAATAAAAGGAACACAAACGTACTACACGAGTTACGCCCAAAAAGGACATATAATATGCAGTTATGCACTAGATACACCCCTAAACACCAGTGTCAAATCGTAAAACGCTTATAGCACAAAGGGACAGATTAAACTAGCGTCCATACATAATTACATATGGATCAAATACGAAGTTATGACAATTAAGAAGTACATTCATTCTGGGATGCGACAGTAAAGAGAATAGCCATTAACGACGACAAGGAGCACGAGCACCACGGCAGCAAACAATGAAACAAAAATGGAGCCTCCAATGTGGCGGCAAAATTTGCCATAGAAGTTGCATATTTTCATCCATTTTACATGGGTGTTTCCCTTTAGACCAATGTATCCAACTCCACCAGCTGCACCTGTTGCTGCAGCTACTATTCCCAGTATCAACTGTAAGTCATTTTACAAAATGTTGTCAGCTATTTGATTAATTTCTCTGGTATACAATCAAAGATATATTAATTGCAATATTCTTCATTGACTAATCTAACAATCAAAATGATGTATTTATTTAAAAATAGAGAATGCATCTCAAAATTATCCCAGTTATGAAATTGTATTACGTAAAATATCATGAGATTCTATTATAAAAAAAATACAAGTATACATTATTATGTACACCGGTTTATCGGTGATTTTGTCATGTATCATAAGCTAATTCCGAAATACAAAAAATGATAAATGCATATTTGTAGCCCTTAAGGCTACATATATAACATTACCCTATGTTAAAAAAAGGCTTTCTTGTGAAACTACCTTATATATACTTCAAATTTTGTAAAAAACTACCTTATAAATTTTTTTTTATAAGAAACTACCTTATAAAAACTAAATGTTGTAAGTAGCTACCAAGTGCTTGATTTAACAATGAAAGATAATGAGTATTAGGGGTTATATGGGGGCTACGGAGAAATTTGGGTGGGAAAAGGAGAAAAAATGTTTATAAATGGGTCATTAAATGTCCCTTAATCAATGAAATAATCCGGATAAAAGTAGTTTCTTACAACATTTAGTGTTTTATAAGTTAGTTTCTTACAACATCTAAGTTTTATAAGATAGTTTTTTATAACATTTTTTTAAGGAAATTTTATATTTTAACACATAAAAAAAAAAAGACTGAAAACGAATTTAAAAAAAAAAAATAAATAAAAAAAAATATTTTAACACAAATTTTTTTTAAAAAAAATTGATTTTACCACGACTTAATTGATTTTGTCCAAGAATCCGTTAAGTAGGGCCATTACGCCATGTGTCGCTTTGTTATTAGCCAAAAAATGAAAAAATATTAAAAAAAAAACAAAAATATAAAAATATTTTTAAAAAATCTAAAACTACCCAGCCACCCCAGCTCCACCACCGCCCCTACCATTGCCACCTTGTTCTCCGCCTCTGCCAAGCGCAGTAGCTGCCCCCGCCCCACCGCCGACACATTCCCTCCCCCAGCCTAAACCTGACCCACCTAAACCCTCCCCCTCCCTTTCCCCCATCCCTAGACCGCCCCAAAACCACCAAATTGCAGTCGTCCTTCCCCAAAAACGGCTACGAATTCGGCCATTAATAGCCGAAATCAGCCGGTTAAGGCCACTCAGCCCCAAAATCGGCCGATTTCAGCCATCAGTGGTCGAATTCGTCGCCGTTTTTAGGGAAGGAGGGTTGCGGTTTGGGCGTTTGGCGGTGTTAGGGGCGGTTTAGGGCTGGGGAAAGGGAGGGGGAGGGTTCAGGTGGATCGGGTAAATAGAGGGAGAGTGGATGCGCCGGCAGCCACACTAGGTGAGGGTGGAGAAGAAAGTGGCGGCCATTCTTTTTTTTTTTCTTTTTCTTTTTTTTTAAACCACTAAAATGGTGAAGCGTGTTATTATGGACCCTACTTAACGGATTTTTTGGACGGAAGTGTTAAGTGGTGGTAAAATCCAAATTTATAAAAATTAGGTGGTGTTAAAATTTTTTTTATTTTTATTTTTTTTATTTTTTTTATGTTAAAAACCATTTTCAGCCTTTTTTTTGGTGTTAAAATACAAAATTTTTAAAAATTAGTTTACCCTACAATTTTTAATGATTTGAATAATAGGATAACCATCCAATGGAACTTGCATGTCCCTTTTTGTTTGTTTACTCTCAAGTTTTTTTTTTTTTTTTTTTTTTTTTTTTTTTTTTCATTACTTGTTTCTTGGCCGCAGCAATCTGTACTCTCTGTAGTTACCAAAGTGAATTTATACGAACTAGCTAAGTTCGTTAAATTGAATTGTGTTATATGCACCAAAACATTACATTGAAAAATATATTCCAAAAATGAAAATATCAGATTAAAGCATACCACATCATGAACGAGTAAAATCCAGAACAACTTAGGAGGGATGCTGGACTTCCTGAAGAAGGACAACGATGCAATTGCTGTGATGATGCTGTACAGACCAGCAACCGATAATGCTACCACAAAATATCTGTAAACATATTAATTGTTAGAAGTTGAATTTTTTAATGAATATTATACTACTTCCGTTTTAAATTATTTACAACGATTTGATACAAAGTGTGAATAAAATATGTTTAATCTATCGTTGCAAATAATTTGAAACGGATTAGAAGTAATATTGAAAAACGTGGTTATTATTGTAGTACCTTTCTTTTTCAAATTTATTGAATTAGGTTTCTTTTGTATTTTTTTTTAAATGCAAATACTATTTTTTTATTTTATACGGAGTATATAAAAATTGAAAAGTTATTGCAACTCTAACATATGCTAATATAGATAAAGTAGTAAGTGAAGGGTGAGTTATTTATTTATTTATTTTTTTAGGTAGGAGTGAAAAATTTATTTAGAAACATTAGTATTATTATATGTTCATAGCTTTATGTGGATCATAGGTAAGGAGTGAAAAAAGTGAAATTAATCTTTACCATAAAAGAAATAAATCAAAAAGAGATACGGAGCACGGGAGCAGACAAATAAAATATCTAAACATAAAATAGGAAGATTAAAAATAAAAATAAAAATATTTCCCAGGGATTAGACCCGATTCTGTTATAATTACAACGTATTATACTTTAAGGAGTTTATTTTAAAGCTTTCCCCCTTCAATTTTTTTAACTCCTAAATAATTACACCTATCCACACATCTATACTATTATTAATAACATGAACTTTTTTGTATTCTTATGCCATTTGTCATATTCTTATTGGTTAACAATTTTTAAGAATCTTTTACATTTAATTATCTCTTTTTTTTATGAAGGGTTGTGATAATATGTCATTTTTATTATTTTTTAGTTTTATAATTTTAATATTTAAATGATTTATTTTGCTTTTTTATTTAATTTTTTCCATGAAGGGTTGCATTAGTTTTATTTTTTTAATCAAAATCCCATGTTCGGTAACTATTTAATTTATAATGCATTTTACCTTCACTTATATTACGTCAATTTTCTTTGAAAGATATAAATAAAGTATTAGTTTAAATTATTAATAATTTGAAAAAGAATACCCTAATTTATAATAAGTATTTTAGCAAACAAAATTAAAATAAAATTATAATATTATTACTCATATGATTCAATAAAAAGTTCAACCCGTGCATTGAACGGGATAAATACTAATTTTCTTAAATTTATTCACCTTTTTTTTAAACCATCGTTTTTACATTCACTCTCTTTTAATTTATTATACTCCGTACTTTATTTGACATGTACTAAACTTTCAATTTTTATTTGTCAAAATCTTGCATCGCACGAGACTAATCTAGTAAAAAATATGACAAAGTCTTGCATAAATTAGTGTAATAATATTATATTTTTATGTATTTTTTTTTATTTTTCACTTATTATTATTATTATTATTATTATTATTTATTTTTCTTCTATTTTTAACCCCTTAACGAATTATGTATTGTATTTCAAAAAAAAAATAAAAAAAATACATGTTTCATACTTTTCACGATGAAAACAAAACTTAATCCTTTTGTTTTGTTTTACTCGAGATCATTAACTTGTCTTTTTCGGTTAGATCTTAAAATAAATGTAGTCTATATAGAGAACTGATAAATTTCATTTCATAGAGATCTTTATATTTCCTCCGTTCTTTTAATATCGCATCACTTGCATGTTAGAAAAGTTTCACAAATATTGCATCATTTCCATTTTAGGACAAAAAATATCTATGTTCACACTGCAAATACCCAACATTTTCTTACTTTTTATTTTATCTTTACATTACATGGACAATTTTATATTTTTACATTTCTCTCTCTTATTTTTTTCCACTACCAAATTTTACCTCCAAAACCCCTATGATGCAATAAAACAAGAACGGAGGAAGTTTTAAAAATCTAAATGACAATATCTTTTTTAAACAGTGGTAGAACTTTTTTTAATATTTTTAATTTGGTGATGTTGTGATGTACATGAAAACATGGTGTTTCACGTGAGAACATAATTCATGAACCTATTAATGAAGAGTCCAACAACTGGACAAAGCTTAAATAACAATAATTGCCAACTTGTAAGTAAAAAACAATGTCTCCTCTATCTTCAATTTTATTACAAAAACGTTAAAAACTGCTCGAGAGAACACTGGCCTAATTATAGCTTACCTTTCTTTAAACAATTTTGTATCGTATGTTTGATTAGCTCGACAAGGCCAATTACATGCTCTAGGAACTTTGTTTTGTATCTTTTCTTCTAAGGCGACTGGAAAAAGATTTAGAATAGAAGATTCCCAAATTACAGACAAAAATTTGTTTCTAATGGTGTTCTGAATTTTCTACACTAGCTTTCCAAAGAAAGGCAAGTTAATGATGTCGAAACAAGAATGGTGTCGAGTAAAACAACAACAAAAGGATTAAGTTTTGTTTTCATCGTGAAAAGTATGAAACATGTATTTTTTTTTAAATATAATACATAATCCATTAAGGAGTTAAAAATAGAATAATAATAATAATAATAATAATAATAATAATAATAATAATAATAATAATAATAATAATAATAATAATAAGTGAAAAATAAAAAAATACATAAAAATATAATATTAATTACACTAATTTATGCAGGACTTTGTCATATTTTTTACTAGATTAGTCTCGTGCGATGCAAGATTTAACAAATAAAAATTGGTATATTGTCACAGTTGCGAAGTTGTTCGACTAAGTTTAAATATTAACCTATATACTAAAATTTCAAATTACAAAGAAAAATAATGAAATTACATATATGCATTTAAAAAAAAGGGTAGTAATTGAAGTATTAATAACAAAAATAGAAAAATGAATTGAAATATCTAACCAAGATTTTATCATAAAACAAAAATATAAATAAAAATAAAAAATTGATGACATCATATATATTTTTTCGTAGGAAAAATTTTCTATGACAACTTGACATGTGTACACTTAGAAGAATAGATGATATAAGCGGTTGTTATTTTAATAATATTACAACTTGCTTTTTTTGGGATTTGACTTCGTGATTTGACCTTGGTGAGATATCGTGATATTATCAACTTAAATATGAACGAAAACTGTACTTGTATTTTTTAATGGTGGTTTTTTTTTTTTTTTTTTTTTTTTTTTTTTTTTTTTGGTGAATGTATTTTTGAATGGGTGAGGACTGAGGAGGGGGAAATGATTAGACAACCTTGAGTGGGTGCATTGACAAGGACAACTATTTTGTTGGGTGCAATAATATGTGACATAAATTATTATACTTGTACAAAGGACATACTGCTATTATAATAACTTTAATTATTATATCTGTTTTTTTATTATTTGTAATAAAAAAATATTTTATATTTCACAAATAATACTTGTTTAATGCAAATAGCAAGAACGAAGATAGTATATATTCTATTGATATTAATTATTTATATAAAGGAAATGTTACAACAACTTTAACTATATACTACATCTAACAACTTAATAAGTAGTTCATGTCATGCCTTACAACCCAACTATGTAATACTTTCGATTTAATTTATTTGCAGCGAGATTATATTTATCAACATCTAGGTAAAATTTGTTTGTGAGGATAAATTGAGAGAGAAAAAGAAAGTTGTATGTGATGAGGAGAGAGATAAAAAGAAATCACATGTGAAAAAAAAAGAAAATATTTGTGGTAAATAATTTGTAACATCCATTTATAGCATAGTAAATGCTGCAAATAAATTAAAATTAAGGTAGTAGTTTATTTGTAAAGCTGAGTGCACCCGCTTAAGTTTACGATTTTCTATAAATTTGTGTCCAATAAGCCATATATAGTTGGTTTTGTCATTTAGGTCAATTTTTTCTTTTTTGATCTATTTCTTATATTTGATTTATTTCTACATTAACTGTGAGTTCATTGTTAGATATAGTCGTACAAAGCTAGTTTACCAATATAAACCGTGATTGTCTAACAAAAAAGTCAAGGATACATTGGCGGAGCCACATTAGAACAAGGGGGGACAGTTGTCCCCCCATTTTCGAAAAAAAAGTTTTTTTTTTTTAAAAAAAAAATCAAGAAAATACAGTAAAAGGCTATAAATATCATATACTTACAGTAAATATCACAATATTGAATATGGTTTGGTGGTTGAGTCCTTAGTAAGGCTGTGCCTTGGTCTTAGGTTCGATTCCCCACTCTACTATTTTTCAGCTTTTTTGTTTTTTTTTTCCCCTACTTGTTTTTTGATTACTCTAATTTTCAATAGTCTTTTTAATTTTATTTTTCATTTCCTATTTCTTGTTTTAGGATTTTTAATTTTATTATGTGCTTAAACTCTATTTTTTTACATTTCTAATAAATAGATTACTATTAATTAATTGTTTGTAACTGTGTTTTAACTTTTATTAATACATACGAAATACATATGTAATAATATGATTGATTTGAGAAAGTTGAGTTTATTTTTTCGAATGTAACTCAAACCCAGACCCTTCATATCTACCATCAATTTGTTCTAACGATAATTATTTGACTTTATGATAAGGTAATTAATTCGTATATATCAATTATGTGATTACATAACGGGATTTACAAACATAAATTTATTCATTTTTGTTGGATAATTTTCTTAATATACAATAAAACTTTTTTATTCCTCTTTTGCCATATAGAAATAATTGGCATATGTGATTTCAAATAAATATTAAACAATTTAGGTGATCAATTTTTTTCTTGAGATTTTTGCCGAAACTTTAACCTCCAAAATTTGTCCCCCCGAATTATAAATCCTGGCTCCGCCACTGCAAGGATAGACCCAAAATTTAAAAAGCAATGAGAGCTACTAGTATATGTTTGCACTATACGTGATGTACCGTGCATGACATGGTTTTTCCAAACACTAAGTGCAAACATATACTAAGAAAATTTAACAAACTCTAAACTCCATAAAACTGCTTTGAACTTAAAGAGCTTACATGAAGGCAGGAGAATGCTCAAATTTCGCCGGAGCGCGGATGGGGCCACGAGGTGTAAGAACAGTCGCCGTTTGCTTACTAGTGACCATCACTACAATCGCCACAATTGACGCAGCCAACAACAAAACCCTTAGAATTACATCAATTCCACGACATTTTTTATCCATCGTCGTCGCCACTGCAGTCGGAGGAGCTTCGGGTGGTGGCACTGTTCCCTTTTCTGTCTCCATCTATATATGTATGACACTATCTTTTGGTATTATGGCTAGTTTTAGTGGTATATTTGGTGAACTATAAGGGTGATTATTGTACGAATATATAGAGAAAGGATGATGGATAGAGTGAGGAAGTTGAGAAAATGATGGGTGTGGAAAAATATTTCAAATTAATGTGGATAAAATTTAATAATTTTTTGGTTAGAATTGTCCACACGTTAAGTAACTGAATTCATAGGTTGGTTTGAAAATTCTAATTTTATTTCTTATTGTTTATGTATAAACTCAACTACCAATTCCTCTAAATGTATGAACATTAAGTTGCTTACAATTGTGGATGTTTTGACTTGGAATTTCTTACGGATATGTTTTGGATAAGGATTAAGTTCAGTTTATATACTCTATGAAATTAACTTCTATTTATTAGTTCAAAAAAGTTAGTTGCATTGATGCAATAGAGCGTGAAAGTCAAGTAAGCGCGACACATAAGATAATGCACCGTTTATATTTTCAGAGTATAACTCAAATTCTTGCTCGCATATTATTGGGAAATTCCTTGTTCTAAGAGTGATAAGTTTACAAAATTTATCAAGTGCTATTTTTGAACTAGCTAGTAAGAACTCATCTGTCACATCTCACAGCATACTCTAGCTGTATGCTTCCGTTTTTACCGTTTTTATTAAGTTGAACATTTTAATTTTTTTCATCTTTTCCACTTTGACTAATGTTAGTGATAAATAAAAAAAAATATAGTGTGGTGGGTACTTAATTGCGGAAATCATCTCAGTAATTAATTAATAGCTTATTAATACTCAATTGTTATATTTTTTACTTTTTAATAAGTAAAGATATTATTAGTCAAAATTTTTCATTACCATACATGTAAGAAAAACGTCTCACTTATAAAATAGAGGGAGTACTAGGTTACTAATTATTTGGTACCAAACTAAAGCTTACATGATACTCCCCCCCCCCTTTTTTATTTTTTTTTCCAGTTACATTTATGGGGAGTTGTAGGATAGTTTATTTGCTCTAATATTATATTGTGCGAGTGAGGGATAACTATAGCATTGAATTACTAGAGAGTAGTTTATTTTTATTTTATTTTATTTTTTTAATTTAAAAAAAAATTAAAATCATTTAACTAGGACTATGAAAGAAAGAAAAAAGATAAAATATTTTGGCTGGGGTTTTAGAAATGAGAGAGAAATAATAAAATATATTATAAAGTTACCAAAAGAAGTGATAATTTTTTTTTTCTTTTTTTTTTTTTACAAAAAAAAAAAAAACCACCTGAAAGGTAAGTGATAAACTAAAAATAAATAAAAAATTTCTATTAGTACTCAAGTCGGGTCAATATGGGTTCGCTTATATTCGTGTCATCGAAATTGTCAAGTGAGGTCAAGTATAAATTTGAGACTTCAGGTCAAGTTAAGTTTAGTTCAGGTCAGTTCATTTATTTTGAGTCTGGCTGTTATTTGGGTCATCAAAACTTCGAGACAGTTCAAACTAGATTGAGACTTTGGGTTAAGCTCAAGGCCATCACACTTACACATTATTACAAAACAATAGATATAAAAATTCGAGTTGATTTGGTTTTAGGCTACTTTCGATTCGAGTTTGTTTCGGTCACTTTGGGGCTAGTTCGGTTGAAATTGAGTCATGTCTTTATAGGTGTTGAGAAATTGTTGGGTAAGATCGAGTTGGGTCACTTCATTCTATTAGTGGGTCAAAAGCAGATAAACTCTACTTCGAGCCTGTCGACTTTTGAGTCGGGTTATTGTTTCGGATGCAGACGATAAGTGACATTATTCAGTTTCCAATAATTTTTCTCGTTTTAACCATTACCCAACAACACATGACATTTTATTCTCTTTATTAGTCTTGTAATATAAATAGTCCTTGAGGGTTAGAATACCAAAATTTCTCTTAATCACTCAATCAATTAGATTAGGCCTCTCTCTTTTATTTTCTGTTTCTGATTATGGATTAGGAATTAGTTTATGGTTTTTAGAGAGAGAAAATGAGGAAAATCACATCAAAGACTAAGCCAAGCTTGAACCGCGCGCGATTGGAAAGATTAGCCGCAATCTGAGCATGAAGTATCACCCACCAAGATTGGAGTTTTTGGATGATTGTTTGGTGACAAAATGAAATGACAAAAGATTCATCAGTGAGAATTTCTCACCTTCTCTCCTCTATATTATTGCTTAATTTATTGCTCTATTTTACTTGTTTTTTCTTAGCTTATACTATAATTTTGCTTGTTAATTGTTTTGCTAATTAGTTGTAAATCCTGGTTTAAATCTTGATAGTTCGTTAATCTTGCTTAGTTTTACTATGTTTATGATTATAAGTTTTTCTTTGATTATCATGTTTAATCTTCCATTTTTAGGCTAGGTTGTAAATAGGGGAGGAGGAGAAGATTATAGCATAGTGATGATTTATTTCAAATGTTGATGATTGATTTTTTTTATTATTTATGCCATGTGTTGTTGGGTAATGGGTTTAATTTCTTGAATTTTTTCTAGCTAATTAAACTTAAGTTGCGTATTGCTTCTAAGCTATGCTAGTTGTACGAGAGTGAACTAATTTAGAGCGTAATTTAGCCAACACCTAGCTCGATTAATTGCGCGGGAGTAAAATATTTGGGTTGAGAATTTGCATGTCTTTGTCTGCAGAAGTGACTTGGTTATGCTAGTTTCCCTTGGTGTGCTCATCATGTAAGTCGTTGTAGTTTAAGTGATTGAATTGCATGCTATGCTTGGATCTCTCAATTCCCCTAGTGCTTTCATTTCTTGTTTATTCCTCTTTTCAATTAGTTTATTTGTGCAATTTAATTTTATTATTATATATTTAATCAAAAAATACCAAAAATATCACCCTTAACTAGATTGTAATTGCGAATTTATTTGGATTTCTTGCTCGCTTTTCTGTGGAAGAATGACCTTACTTATTGCCATTATGCTCGATTTTTAGTAGGTAGGTTATTTGATAGGAAAATTTAACTAACAACGTATCTTACGTTTTAACACCAGATCAGGTCACTAATTGAATAATCGGGTATGGGTCTGCTTTGCAAGGTTTAGTCTCCATGAGCCAAGTTTGATGTTATCATACAAAAAGGACAATAACAATCAAAGAAACAATACATATCTATATTTTTTTTCTTTTGACAACAAAATTAAAACTAAAAGAAGACAACTACAAATTAGTAAGGCTAACTAACTTTGTTCGACATTCATTAGCCAAGACATGAGCCTTACGAACTTGCTCCCTAGTGACTTTCCAAACTACACATGTTGTAAAGGAAGACCCCGATCTAATATCTTGAGCAATCTGGTAATAAAATATAATCCTTTTGTCATTGAAGCACATTGACCACTCCAATTGAGTTAGTATAAAATATAATCCTTTGATACTCTTTCTACTTTGCCCACCTGATACCTCTTAAACAAGCTAGAAGCTCTGCTTGGAGGGCTGAAGAAGCCTTAAAAAATTCCCTACCCCCATCCTCTTGATCCGTGCCACTAATCATGAAAGCCCATCCTATTCCTGCGTTACCTATTTGTTTGTGCCAAGATCCATCGCACAAAATGATCACTTCTGGTTGTCGCCCCAAAGGCCAAATGGTATCAATTCTCTAAGCTCCCAAGGTGGCTCTAGCAAACCCCGGAGGGGAGTCATTACTCACTTCCCTAAACTGAAATGTGCCTAGGCTCTTTTCATCTGGTTTCAAGAAAGTATGTAATTCCTTCGTACTAGTGTCCAAGTGTCTAAAAAAGTCATCAACATAGCTCGTGTTAGTTCTAAAGACCATTTCATTTCTTGTAATCCACAACACACACAAAAATGTGAATTCTCTCACTTTGGATACCATCTGTTTAAGGGTATTTTTACCCCCTTTTATAGACAAATGAGAGGCCGACAAGTGGCCCAATTATAAGCCGACATGTGGCATCCTGCTTAGTTAATAAAGACCAATATGAGCATGACATGTGGCCTAAAGAGAGATATCAGATAATGAAGGGCTCAAAGCCTATTAAAGGATACATGCCTATCATAAAGGAAACCCTAATACACGTGTCAACCACGTATAGGGTAGCCGATCTTCCTAGATTATGAAACCCTAGGAGCATGATCTCCCACTTCCCTATAAATACCCCATAAATCCATGATGGGAAAAAAAAACACAATTCCCAAAGGCACTCTGGCCAAAAATATGCTCTCATTTCTCTTTACTTTCTCTCTTTAAAATTCCGTTGCCGGTCACTAATTAACTTGATCGTCGGAGGCGGATCTCCGGTAATCGGAGATTTGTTGTTTTGCAGGTGTCCAGGCCTTACGGGTGTTGCATTTCGCATCTGTCTCCCAAGGGAATTTTATACCCCCCTTTCAGGTTATTCCAAAAATCCTAGAAACATTTGGCACCGTCTGTGGGGAGACACGTCTGGAATGGCACTTAGCCATATCCAAACACCAAATCATGAAGTAGAGCTCTTTTTTACTTATGAAACCCAATGTGGGGGCAAAGTTGTAATTATCCCAGATGGGGTACTTTTGAGCAATTTCCCTAAAAAACTGCATCTTATGGACCCTCAGTCGGTCTTATAACGTCTGGGGTATCTTTGAGCAGTTTTCAAAACGGCACTCTATAGATACCGTCTGGGGTATCTTTGAGCCATCTTCATAAACTGCTTTCTATAGATATCTCCTGAGGTATCTTTCAGCAATTTTCTTTCAAAATGCATTACCGTCTGTTTTCTCTATAACTTTCTAAACAACCACAGCCGGACCCTTCCGTCTGTGGTATCTTTGAGTGATTTTCTTTGCAAACGTCTGACTGTTTTGTTTTGTATTTCAGCTTTCAAAACATACACAACTGGACTCTTCCGCTTGTGGCATCTGCAAGCCACATTTTGAGATAACGGTCAAGTCTTCTACAAACTTCTTCACAACTTCAAGGTACCGTCTCTGCCCTTTGCAACTTTTTGAGTTTTTCCCGGTTGTCTAGGTTAGAGAATAATGAACTATCCCAACACACACACGGCACAACCTAGGGCAGATGTTAACCGTTCACCGGATACGGCTGAGTCTATGATTGGGGATGCCGTCTGGGGGTGTTTGGACCATCCTTATTCTTCTACGAATCCGACCGTCTCTGTTCATGTGCAGGACAGAATGGCTCGGACAAGAAAAACGGTTGTTGACCCCGAGTACCAATTAGATGATTCAGCTGGAACTCCGGTTGAGGATGCTCATTTTGACCAACTAGGCGTACCTAGCACGCCCGGAGATTAGATACTAGAAGAGTCCGGGAGCTCGGGCGGTGAGGAAAATATCTAGCAATCCGACTCAACTGAGTCTACAATGACGCCGGATGCCCCTCAAGAGGATGAGGACGCCTATAACTGGCCATCAGCAAATAATCTAACAGAGGCGCACATGAGCGCCCGGGATGTTGTGACCTTGAATGTAACCCTCCCGGCTTTTTTGGAGAAGCGTCTGGTGGGCGCCGGATAGGAGGTAATTGTGCCTCCAGCTGAAGCTGCCGTCGTCTGGGATGACGACTTAGATCACACCGATAATTACTTCGGCTGCTATGAGGCGGCATTCAAAACCGGCCTCCGATTCCCACTTCACAACACAATCAAGGCCATTTTAAAAGGTTACGGCCTTGGCGTCTGGTAGCTCACACCTAACTCTTGGGTGAATATTTTGGGATACATTGCCGTCTGCAAAATGCAGGACGTGACGCCTAGCTAGGAGGCGTTTGCACACATGCACTACCTGAGCCGTGCCCTAGGCGGATGGAATGCGTGGTACACACTGACCACGCATCCGGAGTATATGATGACTTTGGAGAAGCCATCAAAATGGACCAGTTGGAAGAGCAAATTCTATATGGTCTCTTCTCCTTCTCCGGCTGTGAACCACCGGCTGCGCCGGTACAATAAGAACCCGGCTCTATTGGGAAAGAAATGCGCCCTCCCCAAGATACCAGCGAGGTCTTGGGATGCCATCATGGATCCAGGGCTTTTTAAGAAAACTACAATGCCACTGGATGATGGGACACAAGTTATTGTTCCCAAGTTCTAGGTCCCTCATCCGGACTGGTTTAAAGACGAGGCGTTCCTTTCCGCCTGCGGTCTTAGCACCTTTTAGAGCAAACGTAGGTTTATTGCTTAACTGGCGTATTATGCCGCCTGTATGGTGTTTGAATGCTCTAACATTTTTTCTTTCTTTATTATTTTGCATATAAAGGACTTGAGATGACTCCTCTGGAAAAAACGCCGGCTAAGTCAGCCGCCGAGATACGGAAGGAGCAACTTGAGAAGAAAAAGGCCCAACTTACGCCCAAAGGCGATGGGGTAAGCACCGGCTAATCTTTTTTACCGCCTGTATGCCTTTCAACCCATCTTAGTTCAGACTAGTTATTTTGCTTTGTTTTGCAATCAGGGAGCCAAAACGTCCCTCGGTCTCTAAGGAACATGCTAAAGAGACCAAGAGAGGAGCCTGCCCAACCATAGTCACAGAGCCGGAGGGTTCCTCCTGCCCCTGTTACTGCCTCAGCCGGAAACAACCGACTTCTGAGAGGCCTACGTCGGCAGGCAAAAGTTTGCGCGATCTGGGCTTAAGCTCAGGGCCGACTAAGGCTGGATCTAGGGAAGCTGAGGTTCCCTCTAACCGGGTGCTTACTGTTGCACCCGACTTAAATATGGCAAGGGGTGGTCTCACCGCTCAGCCTGAAAACTAAGAGACGGATTTCACTTTTGACCCCCCCCCCGACCGCTTGGGCCTGTTTGAGTCAAGTCCCAAGCTTCTCAGTCAGGGGATTCTTCCGGCAGCCGGTTGAATATTGTAGGGTTTCTTAAGACCCACTCTACGCGGAAGTAAACCCACCAAGACCCGCCCTGATAACTAAAGTAATTAAAGCATGCAAAATATAATTAATACATAATTAAGAGAAAAGGGAGAAAGAGTTATACCCTAGACGCGTGCTTCGCTCACTAAAAGAGCTCTTACTTGAACCCAGCAATCGCAAGGTCTCCGACGGCTCGTACCCACGAACCCCGACCCGAGCGATCCATGTCCCGAAGGTTAGTCGGGACCCAATCAAATAAATAGGGAGTTTTACGAACTTCAGGCTATCTCAAATATTGGAGATACCTTTTAAGTTCTACTCAAGTTGTGTATTCTCAAAATCCCAACCAAGGGGTATTTATAGAGAATGGGGACTTGAATCCTATTTCATGATCATTGTGGGATCATGTGCAAATGCAGTAATTTATTTAATTCTAAAATAAATTATTAAGCAAATGCAATCATATAGCAACAAGTGGCAAGAGGGGAGAATGGGTTAGGTGAGGACCATATCCCATGGGGGGACCATTGCCTTGCTCCCCAAGGGAAGCCTTGTGGCCTTGGTCCTCATTTCTCCTAAACCACCACTCACAAAGGGCAGCTGGGCTGGCAGCCAGCTAGCACGCCAGCACACTAGCCAGCTTGAGGTGCCTGCACGTAGTGGCCCCATCACGCCCAGCATATGCGTGCTGCGTGCTGCTGGGTTGCTGGGCGCTGCTAGCGTAGTGCTGCTGCCTAGCCAACGCACACACACACGCACAACCTTGCTGGCTGATGCGTAGTGCTGGCCCCGATTTATCGCACCTGTGCATAGCCAGCATGCGTACTGCTAGCGAGCCACGCATGATGGGCACTACCTTGCTAGCCACACGCACAAGCACGCTATTTCTTGGAGCGGCGCTAGCGATGCACACGCACATGGTGATGCTGCCTAGTGCTGTGCTATGTGATGTGATGGTACGATGAGCGATGCTATGCCTTGCCTAGCGACAACGCCTAGCATGCAAGCAAGGCCTAGCCTTGCGATGCTTGGGTACATGGCTTGCTAGCATATGCGCAAGCACCTAGCACGCCTAGCATGCTAAGCTTGCAATGAACTAGCCTAGCCTAGCACTCACATGGCTAGGCCAATGTGATGCTACGGCTATGATCATACTTGTTGCTTGTGATTTTGCGACGCTCGGTTTCGACTCCCTAGGCTCGATGTCCGACTTCTGTGTTCATAAAACTCCGACGACTCATCGAATCCTTCGGATTGATTCGTCGTCTCGGATCGGTTGTTCGATTCGGTTCGACCCAAAGAGTTCAGTTAAGATTAAGCTGTAATATTAATTGTACCTTAATATTACGGATCGGAAGCAGCCTCCACCTAGGCATTCCGATCACTTGAACTTACTGAAGAATTAGCTTTGTAATAAGTCTGAACCCTCTATCAGAATAATACACTTGTAGGAAGGACACCATTCCTTTCAATCTCCCACTTGTCATTCCGGACAAGTGTGCATACAGTGTCTTACATTAAAACGTCTAGTTTAATTAAAACACATGTGCAGGGAATTTCAAAGCCAATCTCCAACGTGCTTGATTCCCATTGCCTTAATGTGTTTATTGTGCTTCACTTGAGGCAGAGGTTTAGTCAAAGGATCGACCACATTATCATCCGTGCCGATCTTGCAAATTCTGATTTCACCTTCGGATTTCCATTCCCTTATCATGTGAAATCGCCATTGGACATGTTTGACCTTCTGGTGCTCTCTTGGCTCTCTAGCCTAAGCGATAGCTCCATTGTTGTCACAGTAGAGATCTATCGAACCCTTGATGGAGGTTACAAAACCAAGTTCACTGATGAACTTGCGAATCCAAACAGCCTCCTTAGCAGCTTCTGAAGCAGCCAAGTATTCGGCTTTAGTTGTAGAGTCTGCAGTTGTGCTCTACTTGGCTCTCTTCCAGCTAAATGCTCCTCCATTTAGGAAAAATATGTACCCTGACTGTGACTTGAAGTCGTCTCTGTTAGTCTGGAAGCTAGCGTCGGTGTAACTTTCAACAATCAAATCTTTGTAGCCACCATAGACTAGGAATTTATCCTTGTTCCTTTTTAGGTACTTCAGGATATTCTTGGCCACAGTCCAATGCGCCTCTCTTGGGTTTGATTGGTATCTGCTCGTAGCGCTTAAAGCATACGATACATCTGGCCTGGTACATATCATGTCATACATGATCGACCCAATTAGCGAAGCATATGGAATCTGATCCATTCTCTCTCGCTCAACAGGTGTTTGTGGACACTGTTTCTTGCTGAGAGTCATGCCATGAGACATGGGTAGGTGCCCTCTTTTAGCATTCTCCATGTTGAATCGTGCCAGTACTTTTTCAATGTAAGTACTCTGGATTAATCCATCATCCTCTTAGATTTATCCCTGTAGATCTTGATGCCCAATATGTACTGTGCCTCACCTAAGTCCTTCATTGAAAAGCACTTTCCCAACCAGCCCTTTACGGACTCTAGTAGTTTTGTGCTCTTTCCAATGAGTAGTATGTCATCGACATATAGGACTAGGAATGCGATGTCACTCCCACTGACCTTCTTGTAGACAAAAGACTCATCTGGATTCTTGATAAAACTAAACTTGTTGTTGGCTTCATCAAATCGCAGATTCCAACTTCTGCTTGCCTGCTTTAGTCCATAAATGGACTTCTTAAGCTTGCATACCTTTCGGCGTTGCTTGGATAACCAAAACCTTCTGGCTGTGTCATATACACAGTTTCTTCCAAAATCCCATTCAGGAAGGCGGTTTTGACATCCATCTGCGATATTTCATAATCGTAATATGCAGCAATCGCTAGGATAATCCGACAAACTTTAGCATTGCAACTGGTGAAAAGGTTTCATCATAGTCAATCCCGTGGATTTGTGTATAACCTTTTGCCACCAGCTAGCCTTGTATATTGATACATGTCCATCTTTGTATGTCTTCAATTTGAAGATCCATTTGCAGCCGATGGGTGTGTAACCCTCGGTAAAATTCACCAAGTCCCAGACTTGATTTTCAGACATGGAATCATCTCGGATTTCATGGCCTCTTGCCATTTAGAAGAGTCGG